ACATTGGTCCGATGAATTTGGCCACACAAGTGACCCGCAATATCATGTATAACGGGTGGTCAATGTTTACACATTTTCAATTAGTTTATAGATGTCTAATACTATTAGTCTATAGTTTAGTATTTACTATTGTTAATGTAATTTTATTTAATAAATTGTAATTATTATTGATATATATATATATAATAATAATAATATTATTAAATGTTTGTTTTTTGTGTATAATAAAAACAATATTATTATTAGTATTATTTAATTAAATTCGATAGATATAAGTTTATTTTAATTGTAAATATTTATTCAAATTTTTTTTTGTAACTAACAATTAAATGTGTATTAAACACTATATACAAAACATATTATATTATAAATTATATTATACTGTAAATCATTAGTTTAAATAAATAATTGTATGTTTAATGTATATGTTATTTAATACTAATGTCAATTAAAATATTTAATAATTAACAATTAATTTATTTAACAAAAAAAAATTTTACAAAATTTTAATATTATTAATAAGTATGACTGTAATATATTTATATAATTTATATAGTTATTTGACTTAAACATATAAATTAATATTAATTAATTAAATGGATAAGAAATTAACACAAATATAAAAAAATGATATACTATTTATAAAAATAATACAATTTCTAATATTTAAAAAATAAATAAATTATAATTTACTAATTATTATATAACAAAACTGAGAAACAGTGTAAACTGACAAAAACAGTTTGCTATCAATAGGTAAAACTCATAGTTAGTAAACGGAAATAAATCCCAACAATAAATGCCAATCAATGGACCGCTTAGTAGTTCACAGAGTCGACCCAATTTCAGTCGCTGTGTCCGCGAGAGCGACCGTTGATTGCGGGCTAACTGTCCCGATAGAGAGCCATAGGATTTATGTGCAGATATGCCGATCGCACACAACAAATGGTTGACATAAAACATGTTTATAAGGAAAGCAATTAATAGTAATCCAATCATAAATTTCCAAATAATATTTGATTCATAAATAACATAGATTAAGCTAAAATCTAATCCGGGTATAAATAAATAGTAATAATAAAATACAATGTTTTTAAACCATGAATTGACTTCAGCTACCAGTGATATACAGCTATTGTATTCAACGAGTATTTCGTTTAAATTGACGATTAATTCTAAATAATTTAATTATATTTTATTAAAAAAAAACCAGTTGAGAATGCTTCAAAAGCATTTCCATACGAATTCCTTAACTTAAAAAATAAATAGAATAAAAAAAGTTTTTGACACTATTTTCTCTATGTTCCCAATAAAATAAACTTAAAAGAATTTCAAAAAAATTTAAAAAAAAATCACAAAAAATGTGTAGCTGAATGTGGATTCGAATCTGTCCTCGTGGGACAGACAGACAGATCGACAGACATAGAATGCATATACGTATTGCTTTCAGGAATTCGTGAAAATCAAAAAATATTTTTTTTTTAATTTTTAGACGCCATTTTCTCTATGTTCCTGATGAAATATCAAAATTTCAATAATTATCCCATAGCTCATTTTTTATGCTTTATTAAAAAATAAAATAAAAAAAAATCAAAAAATATTTTGTAGCAGAGTCTGGATTCGAACCACTAACCTATGTGGGACAGACAGACAGACAGACGGACAGACAGACAGACTTTTAGAATGCATATACGTATTCCTTTCAGGAATTCGTGAAAATAAGTAAATAAATATTATTAAATAATACTATTTATAATACTATTTATAATACTATTTATAATGTTGGCAAAAAAAATAAAAAGAAATTTTTAAAATAATACAGAAATTTCTAGAAAGTTTCTTTAAAAAAAAAATTCTTAATTTTTTTTTTTATTTTTTTCGATATATTTTTTGTTGTTGTCTTTTAACAATACATTGTCTTTACAAATAATAAATTTAAATAATTAATATTAATATTTAAATTATTATTATAAATTAATATATTTTAATTACATTAAATTCTTATAAATAAAAATGATTATTAAAATTCTATAAAAACTGATTATTATTAAATGATTATAATTATTATTTTTTATATATAAGTATCACCATTTTGGTATAGTTAGTGTTTTACAAAATTATTAAATAATAAAATTCAATACTATTTAATTCAAAATATATTAAATTAAAATTAATTAAAATAATTTTTTTAATATAATAATTACTTTTATCGTTGTTAATGATTTTCAAGTTAACCTGATCAAATCTTAATGTCAAATACAATGATACAATGTATATATAATATAGTGATGTTAATAGTAGTGCCGATGCTGTACGGCATCCAATCACTAACAATACAAACCAAACAATTATCAATAATACCGAGCATTGATTGTAGTCCAGGATTAACATTAGTATTGACCAAAAAAAAAATACGGTTATAATTGTACTGCAAAATAGTAGTTGGCCAACAATTATCGTATATTTTGAAACAATTAAACAATTTCGGTTAAATCTAATCAATTGTTTGCCATATAATTGTAAACTTGATTGCCATTCAAGTCTACGATATAGATAATTAAATTTGGCAGTACCCATGCTTTCATTGTATAACAAATATGTACCTTGATTATTATATATAAGAAAAATTTTATATTAGATTTTATTTGGTAGGATTATTACATAAAATAAAATTTAAAAAAAAAATACAACAACAAAAATAAACTTGAAATTTCATAAAATATTATTAATTAATTAATATTTTTTATTGTTATTAAATAAAATAAATTTTAATTATAATGGGAAGTATACAAAAAAAAAACTTTGACGCCCCCCCCCAAAAAAACACCCAAAAAACACAGTTTAAATTTTATTGTATGCCTCCCATTATAATAATCAAAATTTATTTTAGTCAATAATATAAAACTATTGATCCGATTGATCTATAATTCAATATATTTTTATCTAAAATTATAATATATATATTAATAGAAAAATATTAATTTTACAAAAAAAACCATGCATAACCTCACCATGCTACTTTTATGAAATTTCAAGTTTATTTTTATTTTATTATTTTTATTTTATTTTATTAGTAATTAATAATCCCTACCAATAAAACCAACTAATAACTCAATCAATACTAAAACCAATTCAATAATATGTTTTTTATTCAAATAAAACAATTGGTTTACTAATAAAAAATCCAGTCTCTGATTATTGCTTAGAAATAATACTAAAAATTTGATGACATGTATCCAAGTGATAGTCAACTGTATGTAAGCAATGAAACGACGTTTTCGGCTAAATATACCCATAAAGTAGTCATCAGTACTGATGGCGACAAACAATGTTTTATTTGTCAAATATTTCTGAAACAATTCAATACCAAACACTTTACCCCTAATGTGTTGGTCGTCATCATCACCGGTAAAACCGGTTAACAAATATAACAATTTGTTGATTAACTTATTCATTGACATTATATTATAATACAAATACTATAAAAAAAAACCAATTAATTATTAAATTAATTTAGTTATTTATACAATGAACTTATAATTAATACAACATTCAAAATAAAATCAATTAATTATGTATTTTTTTTATATATATATTAAATATATATTTAAAAACATTTTTATTGCAAAATTGCTTTCTATATTGTAATTAATAGAAACATGACTTTTAACGATTGATTTTTATTAATTATGAGTAAAATAACTAAATTTATATTTTATTAACATTTAATTGAATATCCAATAAATTTAAACATATATATAGTATAGTAGTAATATATATATATTGTGAACAAAGCTAATAGTGATTTATTAGATAACAACAAACAAACAAAAACTAAATAAATATATTAAATATAAATTAATTTCTCTAAAAATATATAATATTACATAATAGTGTATATCTTTATATTATAGATTATTATTAGTAAAAATTTAAATAAATTAAACATGTTTTATGCATATTTTTTTTTAAAAAAAAATTATACATTTAAAACTAATTAAAAATTAATTAATTCAACAAAAATAAAACTAATTTATTTGTATTTTAGTTTATAAGTTATATATACTGTACTATTATTTATATATTAATGTTTTATTTTTAAAATATTTATTATATAGTTATGTTAGATAAGAAAGACCTTAAGGTTTTTTTCTTTATATAAAAATATTACATGTTTTGAAAGTTTTCATATATTTTAATAAATTAAATACTGTATAAAAAAAGTTTACTCATACTAATCTGATAACACTGATACTAATCGGTTATAATATGATATTTACAATTATTAATATTATATTGATTCAAAAATTATAATAATAATAATATGTTATCAATAATATTATAATATCAATTAGTTAAATGTTAAATAACAATAAACCTTGAAATTGTTGAAATTTTATAAAAATAACTATAATATATATATATAATGTTTTAATAATTTTCATGTGATTTTCATAAATATTTTAATAAAAATGTTAATTTAATATATTTATAACTAACTAATCTAGTGTTTAATCACAATAATTGTCTAATAATATATAAAATGTAAATTATTTCAATTATATTTATTAAATATATTAACTTTAAAATATAAAAATAATAATATTATATATATATATAATTAGTTATAAAATTAGTTATTGTAAAATGTTTTTAATTTTTTTACATAATAAGTTTTGACTATAACATTGTTAAAATTAATTAATTATTTTTTAATATTAATAAAATTATTTTAATATTTATAAAATTATTTTAATATTAATAAAATTATTTTAATATTAATAAAATTATTTTAATATTAATAAAATTATTTTAATATTAATAAAATTATTTTAATACAAATGCTTTTTATTTATAATAATAACTAAATAATAAATATTAAATTTTATTAATACTAATATTTATATAATATATTAAAATAACAAAAAATTATTTTATAATTATTTATTTAAAAAAAATCAAAATTTAGCACTAATAATGGGTCAGGAAATACAAAGTTAATGAAACTAATATTAGGTCGACTTAGACCACAATCGGGTAATATATTTATACACAAAAATGATAGCAAACAACTAAATGGCAACCTATTGGCAAATACGGGCGGTCCGGGTATAGGATATATGCCACAAGAAATAGCACTATTCAATGATTTTAATATCAGACAAATGTTTCATATATTATGGACTCATATATCAATTGAATAGTCAATCAGTTAACAATCGTATGGATGAGTTGAATGAATTGTTTCAATTGCCATCAATGGATCAAAGTGTGGGTACATTGAGTGGTGGACAACAAAGATTAGTATCGTTGGCCATAACACTAATACATTCACATAAAAACTACTACTATTGGATGAGCCGAAAGTCGGTGTCGACTTAATAATCAGATATCAATAATAAAAAATTTAACTTTAAACTAAATTTTTTAAAAAAATTATCCATATATATAATGCAAGTTTGCAATTATTGGTATATAATAATACCATATACAGTATATCTTTATAAAAAAAAAATTATTATTAGTAAAAATTTAAATAAATTAAATATGTTTTATGCATATTTAAAACTAAAATACAATTCACACATTAATGTCATTTAAAATATTTAACAAATAATTAATTCAATAACAAAAAAAACTAATTTACTTGTATTTTAGTTATAAGTTATATACTTTACTATTATTTATATATTAATGTTTTATTTTTAAAATATTTATTATATAGTTATGTTAGATAAGAAAGACCTTAAGTTTTTTTTTATAAAAATATTACTTGTTTTGAAAGTTTTCATATATTTTAATAAATTAAATACTGTATAAAAAAAGTTCACTTATATATATTATATAAATTATTATATATATACAGTATATATTGTTGAATAATATAAATAATGTAAAATTATTGCCAATAATTGATTTAATTGATGAGTTAAACTAAATTTATAATAAAACTGTTAAAATTAAATTAAATATTAAAATAATTATAATAATAGTGACAATAAGAAATTATATGTAAAACTATAATAATAATGAGTTATGTAATTGATATTCAAAATGTTTTATTTAAATACAGATCATCAGATAATTATGTTTTAAATAATATATCATTAAATGTAGCAAAAAGTAAATTAAAAAAATACATCATAATTGTAATATCTATAAAATTATTTTTTTTTTGAAAATATTAACATTTAAAATTAATGCTTTTATTTATAGTTAGTTAATACTAGATATTACACATATATATATATTATGTTATTAAAAAATCTATAATAAATTATAACTTTTTGATATTTTGAATAAATTTTCTATTTTTTATATTATTATTATGTGATTTATTTTTTAGGCCAAATACTAGCACTATTGGGCTGTAATGGGTCGGGAAAGACAACATTAATGAAACTAATATTAGGTAGACTTAGACCACAATCGGGTAAAATAATTACGAAAATTGATAGCAAACAACTAAATGGCAAACAATTGGATAGTATCGGTCCGGGTGTGGGATATATGCCACAAGAAATAGCACTATTCAATGATTTTAATATCAAACAAATGTTTCATTATTATGGACTCATATATCAAGTGGACAGTCAAACTGTTGACAATCGTATGGATGAGTTGATTGAATTGTTTCAATTGCCATCAATGGATCAAAGTGTGGGTACTATGAGTGGTGGACAACAAAGATTAGTATCGTTGGCCATAACACTAATACATTCACCAAAACTATTACTATTGGATGAGCCGACAGTCGGTGTCGATTCAATACTTAGAGACCGTATTTGGCATTATTTGGATCAACTGTGTCATGAAAATAGTAAATATGAAAATTTAAATTATATTTAAATAATAGTTTAATAGTTTAGCTAATTAGATAAAACTATCATGTTTGTTTTGTTTTCTTATTAATTATAATTAAATAAATCAAATCTATTTTATTAGTAAAAATATTTTTAACAACACTTATTAGAAATTAAATTTTATTAGAAATTAAATGTTATTAGAAATTAAAAATTTATTTGAAATTAAAAGCTATTAGAAAATTATTAGAAAAAGTTAATTATAATGATTTAATTATTTATATAAAAAATGAAAAAATAAATAAATAATAACTGTTATAAATAATTGTATATAAATACTAAAGTAATTTTAATGATTTAATTATTTAAAAAATAACTAATAGTCTATTAATATTTATCAGTATATATATTTGTTTATTTGTTTTTTGTTTTAATAATTTTTGTTTAAATTTATTATTATTATTAATAATTAAAAGACACAACAGTTATCATAACTACTCATTACACTGAAGAGGCCAGACGTGCAGATTCAGTGGCTTTTATATATAATGGCAATTGTCTGGCAAATCAATCGCCTAATAAACTACTAGAAACCTACAGGTGCTCAACACTGGATGATGTCTACTACGAGTTAGTTCAGGAATCGATGGCTACTAATAATAATAATAGTATTAATGATAGTATTAATGACAATAATACTAATTATGATCAAAATGTTGATTATATAGAAACTGATGATCAAACAGTTGTTGTCTTCAATAGCAAACAATTATTCAAATTTCATTGTATTCAAGCACTGGTAATGCGAAACTTGATTGAAACAAAATGCCGTCCCTGGGCCTACCTGTGCTACTATTTGCTACCATTTACTATTATATATCCATCCTATATATCATTCAATGAACCACACAATATGCCCGTCGGTATAGTTAACAATGATTTTATTAGTGGTGGTAATCATTATAATACTAGTAGTAGTAGTAGTAATTCAATACAATTTATCCAATTAATAAATAACCGATCATTTTATAAAACTATATACAATTCAACTGATTTAGCTTACGATTCATTGGTTTCGGGTAGAAATCATTTAGCAATTATAATCAACAACGGGTTTAGCGATCAAATTGATAGTCTAGTTCAAAATGGTACCATAATTATTGATGATTATGATTATGATATGTCGACAACTACTAACCACACATTAATCAGTTTGTTTGCCGATATGACTAATCCTATGTATGTATATTATGGTCAATACTATTTGTATGAGACATTGATTGAAATGATCAAAAATTTTAGCCAAAATAATCCCCAGGTATACAACATGCCTATTGATATAACCTATAAAAATGATTATTCAATTGTTAAACTAAATTATTATCAATTACCGGGACTGTTGGCTGTTTTAAACCAACTGATGACCGCCCTATTTGTTAATCAATTTATGAATACAGTCACTGAACGTCGATTAGGTTTATTGGACAGATATATGATTGCCGGTGTCCAACCTCTGGATATATTTATTGCAAATATGTTAATAAGTTTAGTTCATATATCTGTACAATCATTATTGATAATGTTGTTTGTATTTAATGTATTAAATTATCCAAATTATGGCCAATATCTGGACATATTTATCATGTTGCTAATCAATGGTTATCATGGTATGCAATTTGGTACAACAATTATGCTATGGTTGGATGATATATTTTTAATAGTTGTAAGTATTTTCAAACAAAAATTATATATATATAATATATTGTAAATCTGATAAAAAATACTAAAATTAATTTATATACTGTATATATACATACCGTATATTCTGTATATACATATATATACTGTATATACATATATATACTGTATATACATATATATACTGTATATACATATATATATACTGTATATACATATATATACATATATATACTGTATATACATATATATACATATATATACATATATATACTGTATATACATATATATACTGTATATACTGTATATATACATATATTGTATATACTGTATATATACATATATTCTGTATATACAGAATATATGTAAAGTTATATACAGTATATAAATATACATATACTGTATATATAAACAGTATATTGTAAATCTAACAAAAAAAATACTAAAATTAATTTATATGTATATATATATATATATTATTTCAATTGTTTTCTCTTTTTTATAGATATTTATATTTTCTATACTATTTCCGCAAGCATTTCTATCGTCATTGTTTTGGCCGATTGAATCATTGCCCAGTTATCTAAATTTTTTGCAAAATATATTACCCATGGCTTTGGGTACCAATATTGTACGTAATATACAATATAATGGTTGGTCACTGTTTCAACATTTACAACTAGTTTATAAATTATTGATACTAATTGGTTATAATATGATACTAACAATTGTTAATATTATATTGATTCAAAAATTATAATAATAATATGTTTTATTTTTAAATATACATAAAAAAACAATGTAATAGTAAATAAAATATTATATAACAAATTTAGTAAAATACAGTATTGGATAAAACAATTATTGAAACTATTATATATATATATATATATATATATATATATATATTATTTCACTAAAATTATTGCTTATTTTTATATATTATATAAAAAAATAGTTGATTATTATTCATATTTATAATAAGATAATTTAATGTATAATTAAAAAATATTTGTTTCAATAAATTAACATATAAAATACATAAAAATTTATTTTATTTGATAACAGAATTAATTTTTTCATATATAAAATAATATATTGACTATAAAAATTGTAAATTAAAAAAAATAATTTTTATGTTAAAGTATTAAAAATTATATTACAATAATTGAATTTTTTTTTTTAATATACTAATAGTTTTAGTTCCGTAATATTGACTAATATTTGTTTTATTTGTAATCAATTTATTAAATTATACTATTTATAGTATATATAGTATATATATATATATATATATATATATCTAGATATTAGTAATAAGTGATATTAAATGTATGACACGTGGCATAAGTACAACAAAAATAAAAATAATAATAAAATATTTTTTAAAAATAAACAATATTTAATAGTTAAATAAAAAATAATCCATAGATTTCTATTGAATAGAAATATTATTTTAAATAAATTAAATAAATCAGTTTAAAATCATATTTCTATTAAAATTTATTTTCTTCAATGTCAATGTAATAAAATTTATGTAAATTTTTTAAATAGTTATAAAATTATTTCAAAAATGTTATTTTATTATTTGTTATTGAAATATATTTAAATTTTATTATTAAAAAAAAAAAATCTTATTAACTATGATTTCCTTAAATCTGATTATTTACTTATTATTTATAAAAAATAAATAAACTATTTAACTTTATAATACTACTGTAATATATTTAATAATTATAAAATTAAAAATAAAATTAAGTTATTTAATACTTTTTTTTGGTGTTGAATAAATTAAAACTCAAAAAATATATAATATAAATTAATATTTTATTTTATAATGATTTTAATAATATTTTGTCTTAATTATTGTTTCATTATTATTATATATAATAATATAAACTAAAAGTTAATTAAATTAAACTATAATGAGTTATGCAATTAATATTCATAATGTATTATTTAATTACAATTCATCGATTAAAACAATAAATAATTTTTCATTAAATGTAACAAAAGGTAAATATTATCGAAAAATATATTATTATATTATTAATTATATTTTTATTAATTTGAAATAAGTTTTTTAAATACTAATAGTAAACTAATTTTCTAATTATGTAATACTAGTAAATTTTTAATTAATTAATCATCTATTAATAAATTTTGTATTAGATTTTTGTAATTATATTTAAAAAAAACTATATTTACTTAATTTAAATACAGTTAAAAATTTTAAAACTATTAATATAATTAAATAATATATATATATATATTTTAGTAAAATTATATCCAAGTTATTAAATCATTATTATTATTATAATTAAAAAGTTTTATGTTTATCTAAATTGATTGTTTTTTTAGGTCACATATTAGCACTGTTGGGCTGTAATGGGTCGGGAAAGACAACATTAATGAAACTAATATTAGGTAGACTTAGACCACAATCGGGTAATATATTTATCAATAATGATAGCAAACAACTAAATGGCAACCGATTGGCAAATACGGGCGGTCCGGGTGTGGGATATATGCCACAAGAAATAGCACTATTCAATGATTTTACTGTCAAACAAATGTTTCATTATTATGGACTTATATATCAAATGAATAGCCAAACAGTTAACAATCGTATGGATGAGTTGATGGTTATGTTTGAATTGCCATCAATGGATCAAAGTGTGGATACTATGAGTGGTGGACAACAAAGATTAGTATCACTGGCCATAACACTAATACATTCACCAAAACTATTACTATTGGATGAGCCGACAGTCGGTGTCGATTCAATAATCAGATCTAGTATTTGGCATTATTTGGAGCAACTGTGTCATGAAAATAGTAAAATTTTATTTTATATAATATATATATATATATCTAAACTATATATCATATAAATATATATTTTTTAAAAATTTAACACTAAATATGAAAATATTTAAACAATACTAGAGATATTTTTTATATAAATAAATATTTTTTTTTAAATTTTAGAAAAAACTATCATGATTGTTTTTTATWTATATATATTAATTAGAATTTAATAAATCAAATCTATTTTATTAGTAAAAATATTTCTAACAATACTTATTAGAAAATTATTAGAAAAAGTGAATTTAAATGATTTAATTATTTGAAAAAATAAATAAATAATAATAAATTAATAATAAGTGTTATAAATAATAAGTCTATTAATATTTAGCAGTATATAAACATTTATCAAAATAGTAAATTACAAACAAACAAAAATCTAAAAAACTATAATTAATTATTTTTAGATAAATTTATAAAAATTAAAAGACACAACAGTTATAATAACTACTCATTACACTGAAGAGGATTATATATCTAAACTATAATTTTTTAAATAATTTTTAACACTAAATATGAAAATATAAATATTTTTAAACAATACTAGAGTTTAGCAATAAATAAAAACTTATTTTTAAAAATATTAGATATTTAAAATATTAAATATTTTAAATATTATATTAAACTATCATGTTTGTTTTTTTGCTTATTAATTAGATATTAAATGTTATTGTTATTAGAAATTAAATGTTATTATATAGTAAATAGTAAAACATCATAATAGTAAAAAAAATTTAAAAAAATATATATCATAATCTATCTAAACTATATGTATATAACTATTTTTTTTGTTATAATTTTTTATATATATATATTATTAATAAATAATAGACACAACAGTTATAATAACTACTCATTACACTGAAGAGGCCAGACGTGCAGATTCAGTGGCTTTTATATATAATGGCTATTGTTTGGCCAATCAATCGCCTAATCAACTCATTGATACCTACAGGTGCTCAACACTGGATGATGTCTACTACGAGTTAGTTCATGAATCGATGGCTACAAATAATAATGATAATCAAAATCATAATGATTTTAGTATAATTGACCCATCAATTGATAATAATGTAGACAATGATAAAATTATTTTCAAAAACAATTATTATATTAACTTCAATCATATGAAAGCACTGGTATTTAGATGTTTAATTGAAACTAAATCAAGACTCTGGACCTATATTTACTATTATTTAATACCGTTTGCTATGATAATACCGGCACATCTAGCATTTGATAGTCCACATGATATACCCATTGCTATTGTTAACAATGATAATAATAATAATAGCATTTCCATACAGTTTACCAATTTGTTAAATAACCAGATTTTCCGGAAAACTTATTACAATTCAACTGAATTGGCATACGATTCGGTAGTTTCGGGTAAAAATCAGTATTCAATTGTAATCTCAGATGGTTTTAGTGATGAAATTATTGGTCAATTAACTAATGGTATCATCAAAATTGATGATCAATTTCAGTCTAACTCATCGACAATCAGATTATCGGCTGATATGACCAATATTGTCGGCGTATATTACGGACAGTACTATATATTTAGTACACTTACGGATGTAATCGGCAATTATAGTCAATCAATAGGCCATAATCCCAGAGCCTATTCAATGCCTATTGATATAACCTATAATAATAATAACCTAGTTGATAATTTGAAATTTAACAACTATGTTATATCTGGATCTTTACCAATAGTATCGCAATGTTTGAATCAATTTGCTTTACATTTTTTATTTAATTTATCAAATGAACGCCAATTTGGTTATTTGGATCGTTATTTAAGTGCCGGTTTGAAACCAATGGAAATATTTTGGATACAAATGCTAATCGCATGGATTCATATACAAATACAATCCATATTATTGTTAGGATTTGTATATAAACTATTAGATTATCCTAATTATGGCAGTTATCTGGATATCTATTTAATAATATGTATAAGTGGTTTACAAGGTATGACAATGGGCACAACAATTATGCTATTATTTGATAGCATTATAGCAAAAATGGTAAGTTTTATATATATATATATATCGGGGTTAAGCAAGGTTTTGGAGTTTAGGAGGGTGGGGGTAGATTGAGGTGAAATATATAAAATACTCGAAAAATCTTGTTGGGGTATAGACTTTTGTTGCATTTTTATAAGGCAATTTTTTTTTAAATATTAAGGGGGGGTCAAGAGAAAATTCCCTAAATTTCCTTAAATTTCCTTAAATTTCCTTAAATTTCCTTAAATTTCCTTAAATTTCCTTAAATTTCTTTAAATTTCCTTAAATTTCCTTAAATTTCCTTAAATTTCCTTAAATTTCTTTAAATTTCCTTAAATTTCCTTAAATTTCCTTAAATTTCCTTAAATTTCCTTAAATTTCCTTAAATTTCCTTAAATTTCCTTAAATTTCCTTAAATTTCCTTAAATTTCCTTAAATTTCCTTAAATTCCCATGTAAATTCCATAAAGTTCCCATAAGTTCCCGTATAAACCCTACCTATCCCCTTATTAACCCTGTAATATTTAATATATTATATATATATATATATATCAATATCTATTTAGATATATATATATATAATTTCCATGGTTTTAAAATTTTCTAAGTTAATTTTCTTAAAAACTAAAGACAATTAAATAATAAAATTTTCACCATTATCTTCAATAATTATTACCAATGTATATAGAAATTATCATTTTTATTTTTAAAGTATTTCTTAGCTTTTTTAGCAAAAAATAATGTCATTTTTGACATAACCTTAAATTATTTATTTTAAATACACTAGACATTTTTTTATAATTAAAATCAAATGATATTTTGCTAGTAGATTACAGGGTTATATGGTGAATAAAAAATAATTTTTTATCTCAACTATATCAACCATTTTTTTAATCATTAAGTAACACATTTTAAAATAATATTGTGATAAAAGTTTATTTCAGTTATTTTTTATTAAAACATCACTAAATTTTATCAAATCATTTATAGATAGTACATTGAATGTTAATTTATATAATAATTATTAAACTAATAAATATTTTTAATTTTTTAATAAATTATTTTATAACTATTGCAATTTTTTGATATTAATTTATAATATATATATATATATACAAAAAATTTATTTTATCTTACTTCAAGACTAAGTTATAAATATTAAAATATATATATATATCTAATAGAGGACATAAAAAAATTAGATTTTTAACTTTTATTTACTTAATTATCGCTAAACATTTATCTCATGTTATTGACTATTTATCGTCTTTAAAGAGTTAATTAAATCTTATTAATTTTTGATAATTTTCTTAAATAATCACTTAGGTAACCACTTGAGAATTGTGAAATTAAAAATGATAATTTATGATGAAATCATATAAATAATAATTAAATTAAAAATTTATGATTTGTAAATTTTGGATCATATTTATTAAAATGGCCATTTTATCTTTAAAACAAATAATTTTAAAAATTTTAATTATAAAATTTAAAGACACATAACCATTTTATTTTAATAAAAAAGAATTGCATTTTTATCATTAACAGTAGCTTCACAGGAATAATTTAAAGTTGATACATTTCAGTGTGACAGAATTTTTTGTGGTTATCTTATATATTAGATTACGATAAAAAAAGTTTTTTTATTATTATTATTAATTAATTAATTATAGGTAATATTAGCCAGTATAACATTTCCGCAAGTATTTATATCATCATTACTTTGGCCAATTGAATCATTACCCGATTATCTAACTATTATCCAATATATTGGACCATTGAATTTGGCCACAACTATAACCCGTAATGTTGTTTACAATGGTTGGTCAATATTAACACATTATCAATTGGTTTATAGATGTCTAATACTAATTTCATACAGTATTATATGTACTATAATTAATGTTATTTTATTTAAAAAATTGTAAAAAAAAAATTTTTTTTATAAATTTTTAATTGCTAATAAAAATAAAATAAAATTTTTATAAATAAAAATCATAATTATAACAATATAACTTAATTATGTAAAATTAATAAGATTTTTTTTGTAGTTGAAAAATAAATTAATATATTTACTAAAATTTTAAAAATAAAAATAAAATTAGAAATTAAGTTAAAATTTAATTATTTAAACTCACAAATAAATTATAGTTTTAATAAATTATTTATCTAGCTGATTATATTTTTAAGTTACAATTAATATTAAAATAATATATTTTATTTTATAATAAAATCAATTTCTATAATAAAATATTTAATAATAAAATATATTATATTTAATATAATACAAAAATAATTTCTAAATTAAACTAAATGTTCAAAGTACTAAACAATTATATTAACTACAAAAACAAAATAATAAAATAAACTTATGATTAGTACAGTATATTATTAAAAATAAAAACTGGTTTTTATGAAATTGTAATGTGTTTTACTTATCTATAAAAAAAGTATTCAAATATTTGAAAGTTTTTTTTTATTAATCAGATTTTATTTTTTTTTGTTTATATGATTAAAGTCTTATATATATATATATATAAAAGACTTTAATGATATAAACATTAATAAATATATATATTTATTAATGTTATAATTACAGTGTATTTTTTGAATTAATTATTATTAAATAGACGCGTTTGAAGAGAGAGAGAGAAAGAGAGAGAGAGAGAGAGAGAGAGAGAGAGAGAGAGTCAATGCTATTAATGTTAGAGAGGGCTATTTGACGTCAATATATATATATATATATATATATATAATAGTAAAACAAATTGAGATCCGATAATAACAAACGCCACTAAAACAAAAATTTATAGTTTAAAAGCAATTAAAAAAATTATTATATAATAAATATGAGTGTAAATATAATTATTATTATTATTATTAAATTAATTTAAATAATAATTAAATATTTTAATTAACGTTATATATATATATATATAGTATAAATAATACATTGATTAAAAAGTAATTTTTTACTGTCGAAAAACATATCTAAAAAATAACAAAATTTTATTTAATCATTAGTTTGATAAAAATAAACTTTATTTAAAAACATTTTTATTTAGTAAAAATAAATACAATATAAATTGTGTGAAAATATTTATAATTGACTTAATTAATAAAATCCTTAATAGTGAATCATATTTAAAATTATTAAGATATAATAATAATAATAATTTATTTAGTAATTTTAATTTATTAGTTTAGTTGAATTTTCCTATTAATTATTAATTTATACATTTTTTATTCAATTGTTATTGTTTTATACATATAAGTGGCGTCAATGTCTACGGTCTCAACATTTTTTTAATTGCTAAATACCATTACATAACCTTTGAATTTAATAATTGTTTTAATATATATATATATAACTATTAACTTAAGTAAATAATTAATTTTTATTTTTGAATGTTTTCATTCATATCTATATATGTGTATAAAAATAATTAAAGATAATATATATATACTTATAAATAGATATATATGTATTAAAAATTTTATTTTTATTAAAATATTTCATTTTCGTGTCATTGTAAAGATTGTCAATGTATTGTAAATATTGTATAAATTAGTAAATATATTATAATATATATATATATATAATAATTAATAAATATAAAATAATTAATAAATATAAAATAATTAATAAATATAAAATAATTAATAAATAAATAATAGTTAATAAATATATAATAATTAATAAATTTATAATAATTAAAAAATAAAACTATAATGTGTACAGCAATTGATATTCAAAATGTTTTATTTAAATACAATTCATCGATTGTTGTGTTAAATAATTTTTCATTAAATATAACAGAAGGTAAAGTAACAAAAAAAAACAATTTTTATATATTTTTATAAAATAATGATTTTAATTATAAAATGTTATTTTTTAAAAAACTTGAGATTTATCAAAAAAATTGTAAATCTTAACTAGCTATATTTATTTATTTTTAAATAAAGTATCAATAATATATTCATAAAGTTAAAAATTTTGAAACTATTAATATAATTAAACAATTTTATTTTATTTTTAAAAAAATATATATTTTAGTTATTATATTATTAGTATAATTATTAAAAAGTTATGTTTATCTAAATTGATAACAAAAAAGTGAATCAAAAAATATAATAATAAATATATATTATTTATTATATTTTTATTAATTTGAAATTATTTAAAACTATCACAAAAATAGTAATTGATATAAACTAATTTTCTAATTTAAACTAGTAAATTTTAATTAATTAATTATTTATTATTAAATGTATATTTTTAAAAAAAAATATATTTTAAATTTAAACAAAAAATCTAATTTGATTTTTTTTAAGGTCACATATTAGCACTGTTGGGCTGTAATGGGTCGGGAAAGACAACATTAATGAAACTAATATTAGGTCGACTTAGACCACAATCGGGTAATATATTTATACACAAAAATGATAGCAAACAACTAAATGGCAACCGATTGGCAAATACGGGCAAATACGGGTGTGGGATATATGCCACAAGAAATAGCACTATTCAATGATTTTACTATAAGACAATTGTTTCAGTATTATGGACTCATATATCAAATGAATAGTCAAACTATCAACGATTGTATGAATGAATTGAAATCAATGTTACAATTAGCACCATTGGATCAAAGTGTGGGTACATTGAGTGGTGGACAACAAAGATTAGTATCGTTGGCCATAACACTAATACATTCACCAAAACTATTACTATTGGATGAGCCGACAGTCGGTGTCGATTCAATACTAAGATATCGTATTTGGCATTATTTGGATCAACTATGTCATAAAAATAGTAAATATGAAAATTTAAATATTTTTAAATAATAGTTTAATAGTTTAGCTATTAATAAAAACTTTTATTTTAAAGAAAAATATTTGATAAAACTATCATGTTAGTTTTTTTAATGTTTTTTTATTACTTAGAATTTAATAAATCTATTTTATTTTTGTAAACATATTTTTAACAACACTTATTATAGAAATTAAAAGTTATTAGAAATTAAAAGTTATCATACAGTAAATAGTAAAACATCAAAATAGTAAAAAAAAATCAAAAATATATATATTTATCTAAACTATATGTAAATAATTTTTTTGTTATAATTTTTTATATATATATACTAAATAATAGACACAACAGTTATCATAACAACTCATTACACTGAAGAGGCCAGACGTGCAGATTCAGTGGCTTTTATATATAATGGCAATTGTTTGGCCAATCAATCGCCTAATAAACTAATTGATACCTACAGGTGCTCAACACTGGATGATGTCTACTATAAGTTATGTAAGGAATCGATGGCTAAAAATAAAAATAAAGATAAGGATAGTCATCAACAAAATAATATCAATATAATTGACCGATCAATTGATAATTATGTTGCAAATAATGATATTATTATGAAAAACAATTATATAAACTTCAATCATATGAAAGCACTGGTAGTTAGATGTCTAATTGAAACTAAATCTAGACCCTGGACATACCTATTTTATTATTTGCTACCATTTATTATGATACTACCGGCACACATAACATTTGATAGTCCACACGATATACCCATTGCTATTGTTAACAATGATAATAATAATACCAGTAATAATGATATCAATAATAATAATATTGAAAATAATAATAATAATAATAATAATACAATTTCTACACAATTTATCCAATTATTAAATAATCCCGTTTTCCGTAAAACTTATTATAATTCCAGTCAATTAGGATATGATTCGGTAGTTTCGGGTAGAAATCAATTTCTAATTGTTATCGACAATGATTTCAATGATATAATTCAAAATCAATTAATAAGTGTCCAAACAATTGATGATGAATTGTTGGCATCTAATTCATCGGCAATTAAATTGTTTGTCGATATGACCAACAGTGTCGGTGGATATTACGGACAGTATTATATTTATAAAAAATTTATGGAAATAATCGGCAATTATAGTCAATCACTGGGTCATAATCCCAGTGCCTATACCCTACCTATTGATATAACATATAATAATTTATTTTCTAATCTGAAATTCAATAATTATGTTATACCGGGAACATTGACAACAATAGCCCAAAGTTTGAACCTATTTATCGGTAATTTTGCCTTAAATTTAGGTAATGAACGCCGATTTGGTTATTTAGATCGCTATTTGATTGCCGGCTTAAAACCAATGGAAATATTTGCGATACAAATGCTAATCAATTTCATACATATTTGCCTACAATCGCTTGAATTGGTTGTATTTGTTATTAATTTATTAAATTATCCACTTTATGGTACATATTTGGATATCTATCTGATAGTAGTATTAAGCGGTATTCATGGTATGACATTGGGAACGACTATTATGCTGTGTTTTAATGATAGTTTAGTTATAATAGTAAGTATAGTCATATATATATATATATATATGTATGTGATTATGAAAACTTTAATATATAAACTTTAATATATATGAAAACTTTAATATATATGAAAACTTTAATAAACTATAATATACTGTATATGAAAACTTTAATAAACTTTAATAATTATATACATGACAACAACAAAAAGTTATTAATATAGTAATTAATTAATTGTTTTATTTTTATTTGATTTTTTTACAGATACTATTAATCAGTATAATATTTCCGCAAATATTTATATCGTCGCTAATCTGGCCAATTGAATCGTTTCCCGATTTTATGCGTTTTATACAATATATTGCACCCATGAATCTGAGTACAACTGTTACCCGTAATATCATGTATAACGGGTGGTCTATATTTAGAAATTTTCAATTATTTTATAAATGTCTAATACTTTTAGTATACAGTTTAATATTTACAATGATTAATGTAATGTTATTTAGAAAATTGTAAAATAAAAAAATAAATAACTAAAATAATTAATCTAACAAAAATTAAAATATCTTATTTAATTGTAAAATTGATAATTTATTTTTTGAAAATTAATATATTTACTAAAAATTTTTGTATTTGGAAATTAAGTTAAAAATTTATTTATTTAAATTCACAAAATTTTTTTTTAATAAATTATGTTTTATGTTAGAATTATTATTTATTATTTTAATTAATTATTCAAACTCTAATATAATTTTTTTTAAATGATAATACATTTTATTGATTAACATTTATAGTAGAAAAATAAAAATAATAGTTTTTTTGTCCACTAATAAAACATTTAATTACTGTTAAACTATAAAATCATTAAAAAAATTATTTGTATGTATCAAAAAAACATATTATATTGAATATTTAAATTTTTATTGATGACATAACTCGTGGCAAAAATGTTTACAATTTTTTTTTTAAAAAAAAATCAAAACTATTTATACAATTGACGTAAATATGACGCAATTTAACAAAAAAAAAACAAAACAAAAACTTAACAAAACATTTTTAATTATTTTTTAATTTTAATTTGCAATGATATTAAATATGATATTAATTATTTTGATAGTATAAATTTATAGCATTGAAATTAAATTTAATTATTAGTATATAGTATAGTATAGTTATTTGAAGGCTATCATATATATATCATATACTATTTAATTATATATATATATATATATATATATATATACAGTATATATTCAAGTACAATTAAATATTATTAAAAAAATTGTTTTATCATAATAATTATTACTATAATATTGTAATTTAATTTCTTAGTGATAAAACAGTAATAATGTGTGTGTATATTATAAAAAAAGATATTTTAATCTTTAAGAAAATAAAATAAAATTTTTAATAATTTCAATGATAATGTATATAAATATATTTAAAATTAATAACATTTATATATAGATAGTATATACTGCAGTATAAAATATACTGTAATATAAAATATACTGTAATATAAAATATACTGTAATATAAAATATACTGTAATATAAAATATACTGTAATATAAAATATACTGTAATATAAATATAAAATATTTGGTATAAAAATTTTCATTTTTCAATTCATATAATTTTTATTATTAAACAAATTATATATTAATTGAAATAAATATAGTAATAAAATTAAGTTAAATTTGAAATAATTATAAAATGTTCAAAAAAAAAAGTTTTTATTTTTCTAAAAATTTGTATTTATTATATTTTTAAATTATTCACATATTTTAAATACTTATTAATCAAATTCTTTTATTTTAGTTTTATATTTTTATTTATTTGTTTTTAATTATAATGTATTATAAAAATAAGTTTATATATAATTATTAGATAATGACAAAAATTAACAAACAAACAAAATTAATGAGTTATTGATATTCAAAATGTTTTTTTTAATATTTTGTTTAATTACATGATTTAATGTTTTAAAAATCATTTTTTTTCATTAAATGTTACAAAAATAAAAATAAATTAACAGTTAAAAAATATAAAATAATATTTTAGACTTATCTAAATATAAATTTATATATATATATATATATATGGCTAGTATAATGATAACTATACTCATGAGAAACTTTCTATAAATTTTTTTGCTTAAAAGCAAAATTCAGTTAAAAATTTATAAATTATGAAAGCATATAAACAAAATATACAGAAAAAATAAATAATTGATAAAAATAAAAATATTGTTAATTTTTAGTTTATTTTTTTTTTGTAATTACAATATAATTTTTTATATATTTAATTTATATATTTATTATTAATATTTAATTTATATATTTATTATTAATATTTAATTTATATATCTATTATTAATATTTAATTCATATATTTATTATTAATATTTAATTTATAATTTTATTATATTAATATTTATTATTTTCTGTATATATATATATATACATTTTTAATTTTATTGTTTAATAGTTATATTATTAAAATCATACATACATTTAATTAAATGAAATCAATTCAATAATTACAATGATTACAGATATGACTATAAATAGCATATATGGTCCAAATGCTATCCTCAGTTCATCCATTTCCATATAATCTTTGTTGACATCGAGGGTTATATAGATTTTTGGGTCGACAAATATTTCGTAGGCTGATTTGACACCAGTTTCGGCAAACTTATCAAATAGACCTAGCTCACTAATTTGTCTAGTACTGGGTAAATTTTTAAATAAATAAATAAATATATATATATCAGTTAATTAGTTAATTATTAATAATAAACTTTATAACACTATATATATATATACAGTATATATAATATATAAATATATATATTTTATGTATATATATAGAAATCAATAATCAAAATATTATACATGTAAACATGTAATACATACAAAACATTATAACCAATATATTATTAGTATGTATATTATGTATTAGTATATACAGTATATACAGTATATACAGTATATACAGTATATACAGTATATACAGTATATACAGTATATACAGTATATACAGTATATGTAATATATATATATATATATATATAGAAATCAATAATCAAAATATTATACATGTAAACATGTAATACATACAAAACATTATAACTAATATATTATTAGTATGTATATTACTATATATATATATATATTAAATTTATTAAATATATATATATATATAGTATTATAAAGTTTGTTATTAATAATAATTAAATATTTAACTAATTAAAATAATTTTTAAAAAATATATATATTTTATACTATACAACAACAAAACAACAACAAAAATAATTTAATTAATTTATCAAATGATTTTTGTTGTTGTTGTTGTTGTAAAAAATATATTTTTATAATAAGTAATAATTAAATTTTCAATATTTACATATATATAAAATGCTGTTTAACCAATGGATCGACCAATTTATTCAATACAAATCCTACTGGTTTATCAAAATAATTGATCCGTGATTTATGTGCCACCGTATAGTAGTAGACAGTATTCATATTCATAGTTGTTTGGACAGATAGACGTGATGTTAACAATACATGTGTCAGATTATAGCTAATCAATGACATTATATCATCGATTTGTTGGAAAAAATCTGTATAAGACATATCCAGATATTGATTGCCCAGACATTTGCTAAGCACCCGGCGTTCAACTGGCGTACCCTTTAACTGTTGAATATAAAGTGAAACTTATTTAAAAAATAAAAGAGAAATTTCTAAAATAAATAATAGAGAAATCTATTAAAAAATAATAGAGAAATTTATAATAAATAATAGAAAAATTTCTATAAATAATAGAGAAATTTATAATAAATAATAGAGAAATTTATAATAAATAATAGAGAAATTTATAATAAATAATAGAAAAATTTCTATAAATAATAGAGAAATTTATAATAAATAATAGAGAAATTTATAATAAATAATAGAGAAATTTATAATAAATAATAGAGAAAATTATTTAAAAAATAATAGAAAAATTTCTAATAAATAATAGAGAAATTTATAATAAATAATAGAGAAATTTATTTAAAAAATAATAGAAAAAGTTATAAAAATAATAGAAAAATTTATTAAAAATAATAGAGAAATTTATTAAAAATAATAGAAAAATTTCTAAAAAATATTAAAGAAATTTATAAAAAATAATAGAGAAATTTTTCTAGAAAATTTCTAAAATATATATTTTTATCTATGGGATAACCAAGGTTAATTTTGTTCTATCTGTATATTTGTTATCTTGTAAAATTATTTTTACATGCAATAATTAAATATTTAAAAATTAGTTAAAAATTGATTACTAATTAAACTAAAAAAAAATTAATTTATTTAATCATATTATGAAATATGATAAAATAAAAAGAGGAAAAAAATGTTTTTAACAAAACATTATTATTATTATTAAATAATTATAATTATTTATATATATATATACAGTAATCACTATAATTGTATAATAGTATTATACTAAAACAATATATACGATATGGAGATCCCATAGTAAATAACAACTAAAAATATAGTCAAAAATTTCTATAGAAATTAATTTCATGAAAAATTTCTATAGAAATTTTCTCATAGAAATTTATTATTACAAACTAAACTAAATATATAATTATATTTTTTTTTAATTATTATTATAAAAATAAGCTAAACTTAACCATAATTTCCTGTAGTGTCCTATTGGGCATATGTGCTATAAATTGTAGACTGGGTTTAGCCTCCAAGTCCTCCAATGTATTGATAACAGTATAAGGATTTTCGATAGTAATCGATAAAATCATTTGATTGAAAAAGTTTAGTATAAAAACTTTAGCCAACAATAGACTACCAATTATTATGGCATATGATTGTAGACGACACTTGAATTTAAATGCTTGAATTAAATTTAGAAAAAAATAATAAAATTTTTCTATTAATAAAACTAAAATTTTTCTATTAATAAAAATAAAATTTTTCTATTAATAAAACAAAAAAATTTTTCTATTAATAAAACTAAAATTTTTCTATTAATAAAAATAAAATTTTTCTATTAATAAAACAAAAAAAATTTTCTATTAATAAAAATAAAATTTTTCTATTAATAAAAATATAATTTTTCTATTAATAAAACTAAAATTTTTCTATTAATAAAACTAAAATTTTTCTATTAATAAAACTAAAATTTTTCTATTAATAAAACTAAAATTTTTCTATTAATAAAACTAAAATTTTTCTATTAATAAAAATAAAATTTTTCTATTAATAAAAATAAAAAAATTTCTATTAATAAAACTAAAATTTTTCTATTAATAAAAAATATTAAAATAATAATAATTTAAAAAAAAATAAATTTATATGTAATTTATTATACTATACTCTGCATGAATAGTGAATATAAAACTATCCAAAATTCATTGACTAATATTTCCAGTAATTTTATATTATTATTATTGTTGTTTTGTTGTTGAATTATTTTATTAAAATATTGTTTATATGATGATAATGATGTCGATGATGATTGTATATTATTATATTTTTTATTTAAATAATCTAGCATTACCAGTAGGCCAATTGCCAACACAATTGTTAAGCTCAAGTACATCCAAAACTGCACCCAACCACCACCCCCCCCAAAAAATATATATATTTATATTATTGAAAAATTAATATTATCAACAACAACAAATAACTTACATATATATCAAAAATAAGTAATACACCATCAAATGGGTTAGACTGTGTATTAGTATATTTAGCACCCATTATGGCCAACACCGAGTCAATGTATACGGTAGTCAGCTCTACATAGTCTAACATATAGTCGTCGATTTGTATGCGATCTAAACTGATATCTAATTTCTATATATATTTAAAAAAATATTTACAGTATTTACTATATATATTAATAATAATCTATAATAATATCTATAAAATCTATAATAATAATAATCATATAATATACTAATCATATATATAATAATAATAATCATATATAATAATAATAATAATCATATAAAATAATAATAATAATAATAATCATATATAATAATAATAATAATAATAATAATAATAATCATATATAATAATAATAATAATAATCATATATAATAATAATAATAATAATAATAATAACCATATATATATAATAATTATATATTTAATAATCATATATAATAATAATGATAATATATAAAATAATAATATATATAATAATAATATATAATAATAATAATAATATATATAATAATAATATATAATAATAATAATAATAATAATATATATAATAATAATATATACTGTATAATAATCATATAAAATAATAATAATTTTAAATAAACTTATATTGTATTAAAATAATATTAATGAATACATTTAGATAAATAAACGGTATTTGCGGCTCAACACTGATATCTTGCACTTGTATTACATGGCTATGGCTATCGTCAAGCATTACAGGCAATGCCCTAAAATATATACAGTACACCCACAAAAAAATTAATTAATTAGTTATTTAATTTTTAAAAATATTTATAAAAAATAAATTTTTTGGTTATATTTACCCAAATTGTGTTCTCCTAACCAATAATTTTAATAAATTATACGATGGACTACACAATAATTTTAGGTTAGAATTTGCAGACTATATAATATAAATTTTTTCAAAAATAAATAAATGAAATATAAAATTAATAATATTTTATTATTTAAAAAAAAATGTTTTTGTTATTGTTGGTAACAATGTTAGAAATTTATTTATTTTTTTAAAAAACTACTAAATATTTTTAAAAATAAAATAACATTACATACGTTAGCTTTCCATGTAAATGTAAAATTGCCCCTGGGTACAAAATCATAGCCAAAATCAATTGGTTTATCATTAGATGATGAAATTGAATCATCGCATATAAAATTAGCTTTAGGTGKCAAAAACATATTATTTAATTTTTTTTTTGGTTATATTTGTTGTTGTTTTAACTTTATCTTATTTTTTAATATAATTTTATATAATAATATATATATACAGTATATCATACTACTATAATACTAAAAATACATATATATATATATTAATTGTATTAATATAAAATAGTTATATATATATATATATATAATTTAATTTACTTAATAGCTTTATAATAATAATAATAATATTGTAATAAATTATATATATATATATATATCTATAGTATGTTTTTTGAGTGTGTGGAATAATTGATTATAAATATATGAATATTATTATAAAGTATTATTTTATATTATTAGTTTTATTGAATATTTTTTTGATAACAATTGATTATAATTTTTCCTAATATTTTTTATTAAAAAAAAATAAAATCTGAATATTAAATTTACTTAAGTTAAGCTCATTAATAAAATTAATAATATTGTATATATATATTCTCTTTATTTAATCAATATTTATATTACTATTTAAATTACATATATAATAATAAAATAAAAATTAAACTAAATTGTAATTTTTTTTATATACTAAAAATATCTAACAAATACATTTTTTTAAAAAAACTTAAAATTAATTTTTATGATAATAACATGATTATATTTTTTGATATTTACATTATATTAACATGATTAATA